ACCAAAACCTCACATAAAGGATATAATTGAAAGAAGTATTTTGGTCAATAGACCACTAATAATAATAGATATAATAATTACAATTGAAATTACATATTTCATTGTAGTGAAACCGATACAACCAAAAACTCCATCTCTTTAATCTCAAGTGATTTTTTATATACCTTGCAATTATAATGTTATGCGTTTTATCAGGGGCGGTTTAACATAATTGCACCCGATACGATCTCCACATCCCGTACAACGAGAACTTTTTTTTCAACGCGCTCCTTTCTGCCCATTCCCCCACGAAGTATATAAATGCAAAAACCGAAGTATCGCTTGTAAAATAATAATATATTACCGCCCGTCTGACATAACATATGTAAAATCTATCACATCTGGTTCTTCCACTTTCCTCGTTCGCTATTTCGACCAAATCAGATCCAACAAACTGCTGCAACAGTGGACCGACCTGAAGCAATTCATTCTTCAATTTCAGGAATAACGTCCAGTGAAAATACGTTTTCAATGACGTAATATTTTTGTTTTAAATTGTATTTGCTAATATAATAATATTTTAATATTGTAATTTATTAATCTATTTACTTTTTCCTGGTCAATTGACCAATTAATTATTCTTTCTAAGGTCTTGGTTGAGATAAAAAGTCAATGTTACGAGCGGGATTCGAACCCACGACCTTTGGCTGGATACGCCGCTGCTCTACCACTTGAGCTATCGTGACCTCGATCCTCTCGGACACCAACCACCCATCTCAACCGACAACCATTCGAATTTTCCCTCTTTTTGCCATTTTCAAATGTCGTGTAATCAGGATTGGATTGATACTTCTTTTACTTTTAGGTACTTTTTCCTTTAAAGGTAACTTGGTCAATTGACCACGAAAACGTAAATAGATTAATATTTAAAAAAGTAAAACAAGTATCACATCACGAAACAGCTCCCCGTGGCCACTTCATAAGTAGTTGAGAATCCAATCCGAATATACATTTGAAAATGGCAAAAAGAGGGAAAATTCGCATGGTTGTAGGTTGAGATGGGGAGTTGGTGTCCGAGTGGATCGAAGCCATGATAGCTCAAGAGGTAGGGCAGCGGCGTATTTAGACGAAGGTCGTGGGTTCGAATCCCGCCCGTTACACTGACTTTTTTATCTCAACCAAGACCTTAGAAAGAATAATTAATTGATTGAAATTGTAATTTAATTCTATTTTTAAATATTTTTAATCACTATTTAATTTAATTTTTTTAAATTTAGTAATATTTTATTTTATTTTTTGATAATCTTATCGCACTTGACGATCTTTCTTATAAGATATCTGGTGTATGAAAATTATAACAAAAATGTAAATTTGCAAAGTTTACTTAGACCAAATAATCACAAAAATTGGGTTGTCCGGAAAATATTGCAGGTTTATGGTTATAAAAATAAAAACAATTAAATAAATTATTTTAAATCTATGTTAATTAAATACCCTCCATCATTCCTCAATATACTCGTCTCAACGTGAAGGCAACTTCTCTATTCCCTCTGACTAGAATTTTAATCTTTATTATTAACAAATTCTGTAAATGCATTTTCTAATTTTTAAATTGTAAAACGTCGACTAGGTGTCTGAAAAATTTGTGGCAAGTGGTCAGGAGAATAAGAAGGATGAAGCAGAAGCACATAACTAAGATCCAACAATTATCGTGTAGTCACTTGACACGGGGCTGAACGTTGTCCTGTCACAAAATCGACCGTTTCCGATTGAACTAAAGATTGCTTCGATAATGCCAATTTGTGGTGCAATGCTTCAATTTGAGAGCAGTACTTTTCAGTATTGACAGCTTCACCAGGATTCAAGAATCTGGAGAAAATCAACCGAAATGAAGCGCACCAAAGAGATACCATCAGTTTTTTTGACGAGTTGGAGCCATCGGAAAAAAAATGTGGTGCTGGTTCTCCTTTTCAAGCCAATGTCCAGAACGTCCGCTGTTATCGTGGAGAATCCACCATTAATCACAAGTAACCATTCTATCAAGAAAAGGTTCTGTTTTGGCAAAGAAGTGTTGCGCAAACTTCATAACGATGATAATGCATAAGGAACCCAAGTTTTGAACTTGACCTTTCCAATTGCCTTAAGTTGGCAGATAGCAAAATCTATTTACTAACTGAAAGATTCTCCGCAATTTCTCGAAGAGGTGTTCTGAGATTTTCTTCAACCAAACCTTGCAGAACACCATCATCTAGGGAATCATTAAGAATCATCAAGGGAATCAGCGTTAACATGTTAGTAATAATAATACTGAATTATTATTCCCAAGTAACGAAATGATACTGAGGTAGACAAACATTTTTGTTTGAAAAAGGATTAACAAGTGTTGACATTCGTAGAAAAGAATATTACATCAACCGTAAATGGTTTATTATGTAGAGGGGTAATTGAAAGAGGACATGAAAACCTACATTATAAAAATAAAAAGACTGGTCCTTTTTAATCACCTGGTGTACATTTTCGTTGTTTAGTTTGTCAAATGTCTTCATCATCTTCAGTGGCCAATTAGTTTCGAGTCTAACTAAAAGAGAGTGCAAAGGCAGACAAGGTCAATTGGAAACAACTAAACTAATGGTTCGTCCAATCGCAGACCTCAAGAAAAAATCTCATAATTATGGTTCAGGGTGTTCATCAATACTGAACAGCAGTGTTCTCCGAGATCTTTATCTCAACACAATTATTAATAGTTTCACAGAACAAGAAGAAAACGTGAAATGTACACAAGATGAATGAGCTCAACTATCAACAAGTTGAACGTCAACAAGATACCAGTTCCTCCTTCAAAACGGTAATGAACGGTAAATAAAAGAAATATTTCTGCAATGAAAAGTGCATTTACTTGAGAAAGCTTAAAACATCAAAGTATATTGATCTAGTTCTAGGTCATCATGCTCTACCCGAGAAAAAACTCAGGTATTTTATAATTTGACAAAGGTATCTACTACGGTTTCTTTTTGGAAGGGTGTTCTGTGAATAATGAGCTCTATTCAGAAAGGCGAGCTCAGCTGGAGTCGATGAATAGGAATAAAGTTTTATTTCAACAGGCTGCACAATTACTAATACACAAAGCAATAGCCCAAGGAGTGGTACCTCCTGGAAATTGAACAGCTGGCTTCTATTTTAATTATTAGACGTTAGAAATAAAAAGAATAATTAATTGAAATATTTAATGAATAGTTTGAAGCTTTGTATAATTATTTAATCTAAGCTGTTTGTATCTATTAAATAAATTAAATTTTCTAGTGGCCCAATTGTCTATAATAAGGATAGGTTTATAAGTATATTGAAAATTACATATCAATTACTTATAATTTTTTTCCTAATCATTAACTGAAACGGTTTAGCCGTTTGCTCGGCGTTCAACACTAGTGCGATTCCAGCGGTCCTGCTTTCGAACCCGACCTTCTTACAAATGGGCTTTTATTCAAAAACACAGGCACCTCGAGGGTTCATATAACTCGAAGTTAAAAGGCACTCAAGAACAATTTTCATGTTGTCACATGTGAGACATGGGTCGAGCATTGTCGTGTAACAGAGTCGACCTTTTCCGATTGACCAGAGAATAAAATTCGATATTGCCAAATTTCTAGGGCAATACTTCAATTTGAGAGCAATATGTTTTCGGCATTGATTGTTTCGCCACGATTCAAGAAGATGTAGTAAATCAACCCAAATGAAGCACACCAAACAGTCACCATCAACTTTTTTTAATGAGTTGGGAATGTGGTGCTGTTTCTCCTTTGTCGAGCTACTGTTCAGAACGTCTGCTTTTATCATGTAGAATCCACTTTTCATCAAGAAGTTCGTTTGCTGTTTTGGCAAAGAATTGTTGTGTAAACTTCATAACAATGATAATGCATGAAAAACTCAAGTTTCGAACTTTTTCACCTTTCCAGTTGCCTTAAGGTGGTCCGACACATACGATTTGTTAACAGAAAGATTCTCTGCAAGTTCTCGAACATATGTTCTGGGATTTTCTTCGACCAAAGTTCGCAGGACATCATCATCTAGGAAAGAAATCCTCTTCCTTCCACGACCTTCTTCAAGGCAAAAGTCTCCTTCTCCAAATTTTATGAACCATCTCTGAACGGTGTTCGCACTCGCGCTGCCATCGCCCCATTAATGTTTCTGTCTGTTTGAACACCGTATTAAAATTTGTAAGACGAAATTACGCGAAAATCACTCGTTGACAGAGAACAAAGAAAACACGAATCTGTTTGTAAGAAAACATGAAAACCTGCATTATTTTCCGGACAACTCAATATTTAGTAAAAATGGCACTCTCAACACGACAGGCAAGAATAACATATCTGCACGGAAAACAAACGCTTTCAGCTCTGAAGATGATCTTAGTAAAGATCGAAACGTTGGCACGATAAAAAAAAGTGTTTTTCTAAAACCTACGTCACACCAGACCGCATCTCACGATCTCCGAATAATCATTTAGTAGAAATATTTCAATGTTGACAATTTATCTACAGCAAACGATCCTTATTAACTTAATTTGTTATGCTCATGTAGAAAATAAGAATAATTTATGAGAATATATAGTTATTGACATCATTGAAAAAAATCACCATTAAATCTCATTATAAAGTCCCAGATGATGTGAACCAAACTACGAATTCCATTTCGCAAAACCCTTAACAAACCGAATCATGTAATTTAACACGTTTATGTCAATATTTCAATTTTCAAAAATTATTTGTCTTTTATTGTGTGCTGTGAGTTTCGGTAGGCTTCGAGTATTGGACTCCCCGTGCCGTGCTCTCCAGTGAATTTCCGCTGGCACAAAACGTAACGCTAGAATAGGAACCAGGATGTTGGACGATCAGGCAACAAGGCTTAACAATTGTACAAAGATCGCTCCGATAAAATTTATAACCGCATTTTAGTTTACCTTAAATATATTAGCCGAAAGAAGTTATCATTGCAGACAACGACATATTTTTGGTATATGTTACCTGTGATATCGAGATGATGGAGATTGGTCGCTTTGGTGACCAGTTCGAAAAGAGCGGTGTCGGTTATGGCGGAACAGCCGTGGAGCTGGACGTGAGTTAGTTCAGGGCATCTCCTCGCAAGCATGACCAAACCTTTATCTGTCATGTAAGCGCCTTCGCTCAAGGCGACCTTTTTCAAGGATGCCCTCCCTTGAGAACTGCACAGCCTCCTCACAATGCACCTGAATCGACCAAATACAAATTAAAACCGGCTTAGTATAACTAGGTCGTTTGCGAGTGTACCTTATGGCTTTGTCCCCAGAGAGATTCTCTCCGTTGAGCGTGAGGTTGGTCCATAGGGAAGGATCCCAGGCGAGAGTTTCCCACCTCCTGCTCACCCTGGCGCATATGCACAGCTCGGCCGAGTCGAGCCACTGGAAGATGCTGAGGACGGCATCGTCGGGCAGCCGGTCGAAATGAGACCTCTGAGATCTCTTCGCGCTTTTTTCCGGCCAGCACTGCGTCGAGACGAGCGTGTGATAACCCTGGTCGAGGCTCGAACCGTAATAGTCGGGCGAACTCCGCCCCAGTTTCGCCAAGGGACACGCCATGCCTGGCGATCCCCTACCCAGCATCACCTGCAAACAATTAATATTTAACAATAATCCCAGTAAGACAGAAGGTCAAAGCGTAAACAAAAGATATATAACAATTATAGAAGGATAAATAATTAGATTGTTGAGAAAGGAAACCAACAGTCCAAAACGACGATTTTCAGAATTTTTGAGATTTTTAAATTACTAAGACCGCCCCAAGATGGTTACAATATTCCTATACATTTTGGTTAATTTGGTTTATATGGGGGTAAATCATACTTATGTGCATTTTTTATTTTATGATTGGTTGAATTTAAAAAGACAGATAAATCTAGTAGAAAAAATTATGACTATTGGGCTAAATGAAGAAGTTCGTAAAGTTTATAAAATGACTTTCGACTCATAATGCAGATTATATTGATGGGGGAAAATTAAAATAAGGACATGTTTTCAATTTGGCTTTTTTTAAAGTCTTCGAGGTAGTAAACCAGTATTTTTGCTAACACCAGTGAAGATGACGAAATGACGCACTTTGACCAACCCTGCGAGGATACGCAGAAGAAAATAATCGTAAACGACCAAATTTCAGGTTCATCACCCCCGCAGACAACACGGGAAAATCTCCCAATGAAAGGACCACGCGTTTTAAGCCCTTTTGAACAAAGGAATGCAAGACCTTTTTCGTGATAAAAACAAACCACTAAAAAAGTGTCTCGGCTAAGTTCTGCCCTTGCAAAATTAAATTAGGAAATCAACCAAAACCGACGAACGCAGTTCTTGGTATGTATTGAAAAAGGTGGACAGAATCGAGTTCGCCTTTCTTGAAAATTTCAAAATTCTTTTTGATATGAGAAGAGGACACAAATTTATTCGATTCGGAAACCTTAGAGGGTATGACAGTAAAAGAAATCTTAAATCGTAAAAAGTTTGAGGTCAAACATTATCCGATAGTGTATTATTTATTCTCTATCGAATAAAAAGCTGAATCCTATATAAAAAATATACTGTTATGTGCTACAAATACCTAAATTAGGACACATAAAATACCACTGCAAGGGTAATCTTAAATGTTCCATCTGCTTAAGACCTCACGGCGAGAAAAAAGGTTGATAAGAACTGGAAGTGGAAAGTTATTATTCCCCGTGGGGGCCAGAACAGATAAAACAATTAAGTTTTTTAACATTAATTTAACTTTTTTAATGGTGTCTTGAACTGGTTCAAAATTATAATACTAGGAAATAAATTCATTGTCCTTCCACTTTTGACCATCAGTAAAAAAAAGAACTATTCTCTCCCTTAAGTGCATAAAAGTGCTAATAAAAATATATATGGCCGTTTTATTCCAATAAAAACAAATATTCCTAAATGAATAAAAATATATATGGCCGTTTTATTCCAATAAAAACAAATATTCCTAAATGGTTATACATTCAAAGACAAAAAACCTGACCCTTACAATTTACTGTTTATGTCAAACTATATGTATTTTTACGTTATATTAGTTACAACATATTTACTTATTTTAATGCAAACCAAATTTTTGCGAGGTCAGAAATTTTCAAGTTTTAATAAAAAGTATTTAATCGTGATGAAAGGAAATTCAAAAACCACCGGAAAATTATTTAGTCCCATATTAAAATTTAACTAACAATTTATTACATTAATATTTGCTTTTAAAAACACTTGTTATCTCATTTGGCATCACGGAGGGGGCTTAACTCTCCTGTGCGCCAAGAAAATAAGCGATCGGATTTTGTCTTGTGCAACAGAATCCCACTCTTCAACAAGAGCGGTTTGATGCTGCTCAAGCTTGTTGAAAGCCGCGAACGATGTCTAATCCGTCTCTTTAACATGTCCCATAAGTGTCGTATGAGATTCATGTAGGGAGAACGTGCTGGCCAATTCATTGCGACAACCACTACAACCTCCAAGTAATGTGTGACAACTTGAGCTACATGGGGTCGAGCATTACTATGCATTACCACGAAGTTGCCCCAATGCATGGAGCGAATGTGACCACAACTTCCAGAAGAAGCTGACGAAGCATAATTGACTGTGTTTGAAAAGGTGGTGACACACTCATGGCACAAGAAGCAAAGCATTCACCACTTCTTCTCCCGGTCATCTGATTGGCACAAACCAAACTGCCATTTCATTGTCCAAGTCTCCTTCCTTGTCTAGCTTCTCGTCGATCGAGTCTTCAGGTGGCCCTAAACCGCTGTAAACCATCATGGATTATAGAGCGCTGCACAACCAAGACTTAAGCTGTGTAATGGACACTTCGCCACGCTTGAACAAAGAATATGCCCGGGTGAGATCTTCCCGACTTAAGCGGTTTGAAGCTGTTTAAGCTTGTTGAAGGCCGCAAACGATGTCAAATCCGTCTCTTTATCATGTCCCATAAGTGTCGTATGGGATTCATGTCGGGAGCTGGCCAATTCATTGCGACAACCACTACAACCTCCAAGTAATGTGTGACAACTTGAGCTACATGGGGTCGAGCATTACTATGCATTACCACGAAGTTGCCCCAATGCATGGAGCGAATGTGACCACATCTTCCAGAAGAAGCTGACGAAGCATAATTGACTGTCTTTGAAAAGGTGGTGACTCATTCATGGCACAAGAAGCAAAGCGTTCACCACTTCTTCTCCCGGTCATCTGATTGGCACAAACCAAACTGCCATTTCATTGTCCAAGTCTCCTTCCTTGACTACCTTCTCGTCGATCGAGTCTTAAGGTGGCCCTAAACCGCTGTAAACCATCATGGATTATAGAGCGTTGCACAACCAAGACTTAAGTTATGTAATGGACACTTCGCCACGCTTGACCAAAGAATATGCCCGGGCGAGATCTTCCCGTCTTAAATCTATGCTTTTAAGAATAAAGTAATAATACTTTTTTTTAATCAATTTCATATTTCATTTTTATATCACTGAAATTCATATAATGAAATCATATCAGTGAAATGACAAGAGTTTTTCACTTTCACCTTTCAACAAAATGTTGTTATATCTATCCACTCTCCGACCCATTTGGCAGTATGCGTCAACTTTCCTTGCAAGTGGCTCTTAAATAAAAAACATTCCAATTCCACCAAAATCGGGATCTGGGATTATCACGAATGATGTATAACGTTTAAGAGAGTAGCTGATAACCATCATCACTGATTTTGTCACGACACGTGAACTTAGGATGAAAAGGAGATATCATGCTGTGTAAATTAATAATTTAAAAAATCTAAAATTTTAGAGGACAGCCACTGGGTTGAAACCCACTTACATGTTGCATACCAATTGGTGTTAACATTACTGTATATTAATCTTTATGTAAGATATTTTTTGAAATGAAAAAGTTAATGTCACGAACGGGATTCGAACCCACGACCTTCGGCTAGATACGCCGCTGCTCTACCACCTACCTGAGCTATCGTGACCTCGATCCACTCGGACATCAACTCCCCATCTCAACCCCACCTTATGAGTTTTCCCTCCTTTTTGCCATTTTTCATTACCACCACTTACTCACCAATTAATACATTACAATTAATTAAGGTTTTTAGTTGAGATGAAAAATGGCAAAAAGGAGGGAAAACTCATAAGGTGGGGTTGAGATAGAAACTTGATGTCCGAGTGGATCGAGGCCACGATAGCTCAAGTGGTAGAGCGGCGGCGTATCTAGCCGAAGATCGTGGGTTCGAATCCCGCTCGTGCCATTAACTTTTTTTTCATTTCAAGTAAAAACCTTAATTAATTGTAATGAATTAATTGGTAAAGTGGACTTCGAAGTGAATTTAATGAAATAATTAATATGGACAATTAGACCACTAAACATAAACGGATTAATTTTAAACAAAGTTGAATCTTCTCTTTAAATTGTAAGTAAAAACCGTGAAAATGTATGAAAAAATGTATGTATTGCTGGCAATACGAAAGTTGGAATACAATCGCTAGTTCATTGTCTTTCCAGGACAATGTTCCACGTTCTGGGCCTCAAATGGAAGGCACTACAATTAAAAAAGAATTTGCACTATGTGCAGGAATCAATTTAAACAAATAATATCCACATGAAATAATTTTAAAAAGCTGAAAACTTTTCAAGTTTGATAATTTCACTTGTAAAAAAGTGTCAATTAGACCACGAAATATAATGGATTTAATGAGTAAAACGAAGTATAACTTCACTAACAGCTCCCCGTGAGAATCGAATCGTGATTGCACGACATTTGAAAAATGGCAAAGGAGGAAAAATTCGAAAGGTTGTAGGTTGAGATGGAAAGTTGGTGCCCGAGTGGATCGAAGCCATGATAGCTCAAGTGGCAGAGCAGCGGCGTGTTGAGCCGAATGTCATGGGTTCGAATCCCGCTCGTGACACTAACTTTTTCATTCAGCCAATACTTTACATAAAGATTAATTAATTGAAAGAAGTTATTTGGTCAATTAGACCAAGACATATAATGGATTACTGTATATATTTTTCATTATTTGCCAAACTATATTACTTACTTCCAATAAACCTAACTACATTAAAAGAATCAAATTTATTATTTCACCAAAGTAATAATTTAAAAACCAATTAATCCATAGAGCAATTTAGCTCTGAAAATTGAACTGATTTTCTTTATTTTTTATCTAAAGAGTGTTAAAGGATTAGCAAAATTGTTTAACGGTAAACAAGTGATTAATATCGTGTTCAAGTTTTAAGTCAACTAATCATTATACCTAGTTATTATGGAAAAGAAAGCAAACAAATACAAGTGTCCGGCTGTTTTTCTTTTTGGGTGGATAACAAAACCCTTTTAGACCTAGGGAAACCAACTCAGAAGAAAAATCGATAAATTTGATCCACTACAATGATTTATTAAAGAATCATTAATAACCAAAAACAGATGCAAGGTAATTGAATTTCAACATCGCCTAATAATTATAGATATTTTCTTTTTAGGTATTTGTAACATATTTGTTGATAAAGGTAAAGTAAACAGATTATTGTAGGATAAGGAAACTGAAACGATGTATCTTTCTATGTAATGTTTTATTCATTTTCCTATTTGAATTTTTTTTTTTTCAGTTGTTAACAACCATTTCTTATTTCTTAAGAGATGTTGCTTCAAAAATATTTGCCCGATGGATATGAAATTAAAACATAATGCTATCTTTTTAGGACATCAAGTGCTAATGGCGAGCTGAAAGGCCTTGTCCCTATTTGGCCAACCAGTATATCTTATTAAATTATTTGGTGTGTGGGCAGAGCCGTCAATGTTACGTCGTAGAACCAACAACAACCTTTTAAATTATTTATGTATATGAAAAAATTACAGGCTACTACACGTAACGTTTTGTATTGAAGGGTTTAGTTAATATTTTTGGATTATCAAGCAGCTATAAAAAAACTTAAGGGATTTATTAAGTACAATTATAAAAATATATCTTTCTTTGCAAGAGTGTAAATTACATATAAATTTATAACAAAAATAATATTTTGGTGCATCCCTGCCTGCTGTCAAAAAGCAAAGCTTGTACTAGGCAGCAGGAGATTTTGGAGATCATCAGATAAATAAACAGAATATATCTTCAAAAAACGAAAAATAAACAAACATAATACACAATTAAATTCACTAATTTCGTGGTCTGCTTGACCAATTAATACATTACAATTAATTAAGGTTTTTAGTTGAGATGAAAAAAAGCCAATGGCACGAGCGGGATTCGAACCCACGATCTTCGGCTAGATATGCGGCTGCTCTACCGCTTCAGCTATCGTGACCTCGATCTACTCGGACATCAACTTCCCATCTCAACCCCACCTTATGAGTTTTCCCTCCTTTTTGCCATTTGTCGCCGAGAATAGATTACACGACATTTGAAAAAGTGGATCCGAGTGGATCGAGGTCACGATAGCTCAAGTGGTAGAGCAGCGGCGTATCTAGCCGAAGATCGTGGGTTCGAATCCCGCTCGTGCCATTGGCTTTTTTTCGTCTCAACTAAAAACCTTATTTAATTGTAATAATACACAATAACTACAATTTAAAATTTTTGAAATTATAATTTTTTTGCCTTCTTTGTAGTTTTTAAAATTTGCAATAATAATCCTCTCTTTATAAACAAAACGAAATGCCATATTTGCATAACTAAATATTTTTCCAGAGAATTTTCAAAAAATGATTAAAATATAAAAGAAACAAAATTGGGCCTAAGACTTTACCTTCAGGTACTCCAGATCAACGCGTAAAGAAGAAGTATAAACTGTTCCAACCTTTGTGACTAGAGTTCTGTTCAATAAATATGATTCAAGGAGTTTAGGAGGAATATTAGAGATACCAAATACACTCAAGTTTTTTTACATCAACTTATGATCAACAGAGTCGAAAGTCTATTTAATGTCCAAAAACAATCCAATAACGTAATTACCTTTATTAATTTCTTGTGAAATCAAATTAGTAACATCAAACAAAGCCTGCTAAGTACTTCAATTAATCAATTGAAATGTTATTATAATTGTAATTTTATTATAATAGCGACAGTATAAACGGTCTTCTTCTTCCCCAGCATTGCTATCATATCTCAACTTTCAAGTCCCATCTGTCCACACCCGCAATTTGTAATTTAAAATTTGGAATAATAATCCTCTCTTTATAAACAAAACGAAATGCCATATTTGCATAACTAAATATTTTTCCAGAGAATTTTCAAAAAATGGTTAAAATATGAAAGAAACAAAATTGGACCTAAGACTTTACCTTGAGGTACTCCAGATTCAACGCGTAAAGAAGAACTATAAACTGTTTCAACCTTTGTGACTAGAGTTCTGTCATAAAACAGTATTCTACCATCAATTTTCCTTTACCAACTACACTGTCTCGCACAACCACATACAGAATGATGGATATGGTCAAGATGCTAACCAACAATATAGATATTAATAATACATCTAAAGCCAGTTTGAAGAGGAATTTGAGATGAATTTTTACAACAACGGTCAATTAGTAATCTGGTGTATGTATATATGTATTTTTTATACGTGTGTATGTGTATACATGTATATTTTTACCGGCTGTGTTCTTTGATTGTTCTTGTGTACATATACGCATGTAGAATTAACTAATTTTATGTACGTTTGTTTTTATTGACTAGTCAAATCCCAAATATAATTTATGTATTCAAATATTGATATCTAAATTAGACAATATGTTATTATTTTATTATTGTCAATGTTTAATATTTGAACGTATTTGGTGTTTTGTCTTTCTTGTAATTATTGTAAAAATTTGATTTATTGCTCGTAAATAAATAAATACAATTTAGAAAAAAAAAAAACAACTAATAGATATGATAAATGATGGAGTGAGTGTGGTGTTCAATCCTTTTTAAAAAGATAGTTCCTGCTCACAGTAAGTTGTTTTGCAACGATCCGGATTTCGAGCTTCTTAGCTCATCATCAGGTTGACAGGTGTTATTGGAAGTTTTAACCTACGGTCTATGAGCCAAATGAAACAGCAGCCTTTTGGGACCACTTTATTGATAGGTTGCTAGTTAAAAGAATAAAAACATTAACTTTAAACGAATCAACAATAGGACTCAGCCACCCCACCAGAAATGAATCATTAGGTTTCCGTTGTTTGCCATACATTGGTGAATTATCGGAAGAAGTTACTAAATTTTTAAACAAGAAGGTTTTTAGAATAGCTTTTAGAAGTACGGGTTTACTTAAAAACATCCTCTCAAAACCTAAAGACAAGGTAGACAACTTGGCAAAAAGTGGGGTTTACCAACGCAATTGTAATGATTGTGATATTACATATATAGGACAAAGCGGTAGAGAAATAAAAACGAGAATAAAAGTACACTTGCCTAAATCGAGTAAATTGTCGGAATTTAAAGACCATCTAAAAGGAACAAAACATAATTTCAATTCCAATTTAAATACAACAGTGTTACATAGTTTCGACAAAGGGAGAGAACTAGATTGGTTTGAGAAATTTGAAATTAAAAAATGTAAAATTGAACATGGTGATAAATGCATTATTAATATAACAGATTTTGATCTACCTCCCATTTTAAATATGTACATAAATAATATTAAACGCCCAAATAATAAAATTAATTATTTTAATTGTTATTATTTTTATAATAATTTAACAATATTAAGGTATCATTCTAATTTTCTATCTTTTATCTTTAATCACTAATTTATTTCTTACAGTATTTACTGTTATAATATTTATTTGTGTTATAATTTCCGCTTTTCGTTCAAATTGAGCGCCATTAAAAAACCAGCTGATAATTGGAACGTCGCGTTGACGGGGATATCAGCGGGTTCACTTTTGCAATTCATGTCGAGAGACCTGGTTGTACAAGTCCTCCAACCTGATGATGAGCTAAAGGGCTCGAAATCCGTATCGTTGCAAAACAACTTACTGTGAGTAGGAACTATCTTTTTAAAAAAGGATTAAAAACCACTGATGATGACGTTATTTCACCAACTATATTATTCGTTTTGAAATACCAAATAACCAGAAAAGTTAATGCGGTTTTTCAGTTATTATTCTTTCAATACCGTTAATCAATCGTTACAATGGAGGATTAGATGTTTAGATAGCGCAATACGAAGGGGATAGATAGCGTCAGTTCAGAAAGAAAAAGTGTCTTGATCAATGAGTTAAGAGTAAATTACACATTTAGTTTCTCGTGGCTTCAAAACACATAATTGGTGCTTGTATGAATTTTGGCCCGTTACTAGGGTGGCCGAGGCAACTCGTAAAATGTGCACGGTATTCGTGATGAAACAAAAAGTGAGCGAATGGTTCAAAAAGTTTGCTTCTGGGAATGAGGGGATTAAGGACGAATCACGGGGAGACCTGTCTGAACGACGACGAATTGAGGGAAGCGAACTTCAGTCGAGCCAGGAGCTCGCCAGAGTGGTCAAGGGATGAAACCATTCGCTCTAGGGAAGACGTGGAAGCTGAACAAATGGGTTCATTGTAAATTGACCTTGAAATTGCTTTCACGGCACAAAGTGAAGTGGTTTTTTGACCGGATTGTCACATGCGGTGAAAAATGGATCGGGTATAGTAACACCAGGAGGTCGTACCATTGGCGCCAAATTACCCTAAATCACCAATAATATTCACCAACAAAAGGTGATGCTTTTTGTTTGGTGAAGTACGGCAGGCATTGGGCGCTACACATTCCTGCCACTAGGCTAGACAATGGCCGGAGAAATCTACAGGATCTACTATAAGACGGGCATAACTGAGGTAGTAACTAGTTTGGAAAAGATCATAAGTACCAGTGGAGACATTTTCCCCGAATAAAATATTTCTAAACTAATTTAATTGTAAAACTAACTACACCTTTTACACCTGCACGAAATCACCAGATAAACATAGTAATGACGAAACTCTGGCGACATGGAATGTTTCATCCACGGAAAAGTTTCTATTATGCTTTTATTATTGTATTTTTTCGTTTAAAAAAATTATCCATATAAGAACAACCCGACGTAGAATTGTAGACTTGAAAAAAGGTCGTTCTGCTTACAACCTTCATCATCAACTTGAATGAATAACAGGCACGATTAAAATAAAATTAAAATAAATGTAAACTATTTATAAAAGTCTTACCGGGCAGTAAAAGTCATTAGGCCGTTTTTACATCGTCTTTTATCTTGTTTGTCAGCTAAATATCTGGAAAAAAGAAAACGAAAATATTAATTTAAGACATTAATTAGTTTTAATGACAAAAAGTGTAAATAAATTGTATCGTGTCCGGTTTTGTTCGCCCCTCCCCAATTGTGACGTCAGTATCGAGAGTAGGGATGTCACAAAATTTTTGGCCTCAAATATACTTTATATGTTACATATGTGAAAATTTAATCAAATATTTGTGTTAAACCAAGTTAATTGTAAATTGGTATTGCATTCTGTGGCACCAACGTTAATATAGATAAAGTGATGCTGGAGATTCGTCCTCGAAAGAAAACTACCGGTGCAGTACACATTACTAATGCCAAAATAATAGAGCCTAATAGAGATATTCGTCTATCAAGGATCTAAACGAAATAAAATGTAAAAAAAACTACTCGGACTGCAATGATTGAGGTGTCGTAGTTTAGTAAAAACCAGACACCATTTTCAAACAAGTTAGATATCTGTGGAAGCAAAAGGTAATTTTAATTCTGTAATCAAATTTGCGTTCATCACCGAAATTAATATCAGTCTAACTTGCTTAGTTTTCTTTGATGGAATGCCGTCAACACTTTTCTTCGTTGAATTAGTTGACTTTTACAATACTTTTTCTCTCTCAAAGTATTTCTAGAGCTTTTCCCAAAACTTAATTTAAACACACCATCCAGCCTGCCCTGGTAGGAGTCTCCCAAGGCCGTGCCTTGGGTCCTATTCTTTATTTAATATACTGCAGACATCCCTATCATCCCAATATTGTTTCCTTTATGGACTGTTAGGCGGACATTCAAACCTATGTTTTAATAGACTGAAGACATATGTACAACGCACTTCTAAAACTGACATGGACTTACGGGGGAATGTGCGGCTCAGCCAAACTACCTAATCTAATAGAACCCAATACTTCCAGTTCGAACAACGTCGCACAAAGGCTTATTTTTATGTATCCACTTTCACCATGTCAGCAGCGTCCCTTACGTTTTCCACGAAATTGTTGAAATTGTGTGTTTTCAGTTGTAGAATTTTTCGGCTCACTATTAACTCGAAAAGACACGAATCCTCATCTAATTGCTATCAATTTCAATACACGACTCAATTGTTATAACGTTTTGTACGGTAAAAAACATAAAAAGCGCAGAAACACGATGCCGTGCGGGTGCCATTGTCAATCTAGTCCAGCAAATCCTAGCCCTCCGAACAAATAGAAGAAAGTGTTTTCTTATTTCTTAAATTTAATTGGAAATCAACTCACATAACCGGATCTTCTCCAGTTGCCCAGTGAAAGTTGGAAGCTTGGGAAGGAGCTCCCCGAGTGGGAGCCAGAATCGGAGTAAAACGCCCACGACAATCCCGGAAGTACGATGCTTTCTTTCATTTCTCCATCTTCCAGCAAAGTTGCCCCTCTTCCCTCGAACAGATACCTCGATCGAATTTCATTCTATCATTTTTTTTCATTTCGGACGCGTGCAGAGAAAACAATTTTCTAATCGAATTATTATAGAAATAAATTCAATACATTCGTCTTATTTCAAAAGGTGGACATTTAAGGCATCTATGAATAATCACGGCACGTATTAAAAAAAAAAGGAAAATTGAGACTAGTGAGGATTGTACACAGACCCTCGTAAAAAAATAACCATTTAACTGTATTGTAACAATCAGGTAATTAATTATAACTTCCGCCCAAAGCGAATTGCTTTAAATCGTATTATAAGCCGTGTTAGTGAAAGCAATCGATTAAAGTCTGGAGAGAGCGGTTAGCGCCTAGTGCGTTGTCGGATTAGAAGTAAAAGGATTAAAACTTTCTGATAGCTCGTTTTTTCCGGTTATATATAATATGGAGGGGTGTATTTTAGGTTTGCAACAACTTTCCCACTCGTGTTTTAGGTCGAACATTTGTCGATTTAATATGATTGTAACGTTTCCTGCTTATTTTCTTGACAGGGGGTTTGTCCCAACACACCAGACGTATTGTTATTTCAGTACTTTCTGATTATCTTAGAACTTGTTCATAATCAACTTCGAACAATTTTCGCTGGTATAGTCTGTTAGACGGGTTTTGGCATTGTACAGTCTTTGCGTGTATTTTTTTTTTTTTAACTCGGTAATGCAACTGCAGAGGTTACATCAACCACTGGAGTTCAGGTGGTGTTGCTCTAAAAAAAATACTCTTTGGAATGTACTTTGAATTCCAATTCAGAGCCCCTGAGAGTCAACGCGACCACCGACAGCCCCTCACCATCATTCGAGGTTGGTTCTGGGATAGCCATTAGATCCAGATCATGAAAATATACCAACCTTTGATAACGCTATAAATACAATAATGACCAATTAAAACAAATAATGAGATCAAAGACAAAAACGGGACAGTTGTATATATTTGTTTATTAACATAATAACCAGGTATAAATATTAATAGTTGACTTAAAACATAAACTTGTTGGTGACCTTGAAAATCAGTTCAATCTCCTTTCTAGAGTCAACTTGTCGAGTGAGGTAACTGGGTTTTTGTTATGAAACAGTAAATTTGATTAAAAAATTATTTTTTTCTTAAAAGTATGGTTTTAAATCGAGAAGATCTCGCCCGGGCACCCTAGTCCAAACCACGATGGTCGACAGCGGTTTAGGGCCACCGGACGCCTCGATCAATGAGAAGGTAGTGGTCCTCGACGTATGACAGCTAGAGAGGATCGTTTTATTGATTTTACGTACTACTCATTTAACAAACTCCAAACGGTCTATACTGTAAGGGTAAACGACAGTAGTCGTCAAAGGCTTCGTGAGAATAGCCTAGCCTCAAGACCGTCCCGCATCAGTTTCTCTACCACTGGAGAGGCTACTATTCGCAAATCACCATCTTGCTTGGGCACGTGAACAATTAGGGACTGTTCTCTTCCCAGATGAGTGCCGGTTTGCTTTGTGCCAATCAGATGACCGATACCGTGCGAGGAGAAGACTTGGAGAAAGTTTTGCTTCATGTTCCATTAAGCAAAAAAATTATTATTACTTTATTCTTAAAAGCATGGATCGGGAAGATCTCGCCCGGGCATATTCTTTGTTCAAACGTGGCGAAGTGTCGATTACACAGCTTAAGTCTTGGGTGTGCAGCGCTCTATAATCCATGATGGTTTACAGCGGTTTAGGGCCACCTTAAGACTCGATCGACGAGAAGGTAGTCAAGGAAGGAGACTTGGACAATGGAATGACAGTTTGGTTTGTGCCAATCATATGACCGGGAGAAGAAGTGGTGAACGCTTTGCTTCTTGTGCCATGAATGAGTCACCACCTTTTCAAAGACAGTCAATTATGCTTCTTCAGCTTCTTCTGGAAGCTGTGGTCACATTCGCTCCATGTATTGGGGACAACTTCGGGTTAATGCATAATAATGCTTGACCCCATGTAGCTCGAGTTGTCACACATTATTTGGAGGTTGTAGTGGTTGTCGCAATGAATTGGCCAGAACGTTGTCCCGACATGAATCTGACACTTATGGGACATGATAAAGACACGGATTAGACATCGTTTGCGGCCTTCAACAAGCTTGAACAGCTTCAAACCTTCAAACTTCAAAAGTCGGTAAGATCTCGCCCGGGCATATTCTTTGTTCAAGCGTGGCGAAGTGTCGATTACACAGCTTAAGTCTTGGGTGTGCAGCGCTCTATAATCCATGATGGTTTACAGAGGTTTAGGGTCACCTGAAGACTCGATCGACGAGAAGGTAGTCAAGGAAGGAGACTTGAACAATGGAATGCCAGTTTGGTTTGTGCCAGTCAGATGACCGGAAGAAGAAGTGGTGAACGCTTCGCTTCTTGTGCAATGAGTGAGTCACCACCTTTTCAAAGACAGTCAATTATGCTTCGTCAGCTTCTTCTGGAAGATGTGGTCACATTCGCTCCATGTATTGGGGACAACTTCGTGTTAATGCATAGTAATGCTCGACCCCATGTAGCTCGAGTTTTCACACATTACTACATTGTAGTGGTGGTCGCAATGAATTGGCCAGCACGTTGTCCCGACATGAATCCCATACGACACTTATGGGCAATGATAAAGAGACGGATTAGACATCGTTCGCGGCCTTCAACAAGCTTGAACAGCATCAAACCGCTCTTGTTGAAGAGTGGGATTCTGTTGCACAAGACAAAATCCGATCGCTGAATTACTTGACGCAAAGTAGCGTTAAGCCCCTCCGTGATGCCAAAGGAGATTACAAGTATTATTAAGAGCAAAGAGCTCCATGTAATAAATAGTTTAATTTTAATCTGAGACTAAATGATTTTCCCGTGGTTTTTGAATTTCCTTTCATCATGATTAAATACTTTCTACTAAAACTTAAGAAATTCTGACCTCGTGTTTATATGGTTATGGTTCATATTACAATAAATATGTAATAATTAATATATTGATAAAAATATATATAGTTTGAAATAAAAAACGAAATAGGTGTGTGCGGTTTTTTTTTCCTTCGAATATATTACGGCTAAATCAACCTACTACTTATCTATCAGTTAGGATTAGTAGAGGAAAAGGATAAGAAAGCAATAGTGAGCTGACTCAATTCCTATGTAATCTTCTTTACTTATTCCTTTGAATAATTTATAAGAAGGAATCTTTTCGGTACAGAGATAGAAACGAACAAATCGGACACGCGATGCTGAAGAGAAATGAGGCATTTGATGTATACACGAACAAACACTACAGTTGTGTATGTGCACTTCATTTTAACAGTCTTCCTCAAAATCCCTTGTAACCAATATCTTAATTGAACGAGATTAAGCAGTAATACATTATTCATTAAATGCTTAGCATCCAACTAAATCGTTTCTTGATTATCTTACATTGTTTTTCTATCTTATAGACCAAACCTTACCTAATCTCGTATACAACATATTTGTTTACTTTTTAAAAAATTAATTCAAATAATACGATCAACGAAATTTGCATCAATTCAAAAATATACACACAGTTGTAATAATAAATTGTGTACAATTATCTAGTAACAA